ATCCACTCGCCTGAGTAAGAACAACTGTACAACACTTTCTGCCAAAATTCACCTTTTTGAGCTGTAATTATGGTTTAAGTTTGGGGGGAGGGATTTTTCCAGAAATTTTCAAATTTCAATTTTAACCGTATCTGCCTTTTTGAGTCACTCAGTCAGCCACGACTTCCCAAAAACTTTAACTGCTGTGCATTAATGCATAAATCCTCCACTGCTTCGTCTTCTTCATCTTCTCCTTATTCCAAAACCACCTCCTCAAATATTTCCTTGTGTGAACATACTGACCATTTCTCTGAGTTTTCAGGCAGTTAAGGCAAAAAAATCAGATTCAATCAAAAAAACTCCTCTTTCAATTTTCCAATTCAATTCCTAGGGTTTGTACAAGATGCCGCCGACGAGGAGAAAGGTTGCTGCCCGCAAAAATGCCTCCAACACAAGAAGAAGGATATCCTCCTCCTCATCCTCGTCCTCTCCTGAAAGGCAAAGAATGCCCACTCTACCACCTTCCCCTGCCAGAGAACCCACTCCACCGCCGCCTCCACAACCACCAAGGGCCCTGTAAGAACAAGCCCTCAATGCCATCACCGACGAGTGGGAGCCCAGGCTATTCCCAAGAAAGAAGGCTTGGGACTTCTTTCTAAAACACATCAAGCGAAAATTCATTACAGAAAGGGGAATAGGTGAGGATGGTGAAGCGTTCGCCTACATCAAACGCTACGGGTGGGAGGTGTTTTCAAGGCCCCTTGTCCGGCCCCGACTCCAGATTGTGCAGGAATTTTACGGCAATTTCTCCACCGCCCCCAGAGATGGAGTCTTTGTCAGAGGAATCTCAGTCAATTGCAGCACCGAAGCCATCAGGGCCATCTGGAAGTTACCAAGAATCAGCACTGATTACAGGGAAACCCTTGCTGCCCTGCATCCAAATCAACCACTCGAACACGCCATTCTGTCTAGATTGGCAAAAGAAGGCATGAGCCGGGAGATGGATGATCACAGAAATCCTCTGGGATTTCCAGCAAACGTGTTGTAGACGCCTGATCTAAATTTGTGGTACCATTTCGCCTGCTGCAATCTGATGCCAACATCCTACGCCGTAAAGGTCACCTATGAGATGGCTCTGCTGCTGTATGCCATTGTCACGGACACACCATTTGATGCAGCCTCAGTCATCAGAGATCAACTCACCAAATGCATCACTGATCCAAAGGTGAAGAGCTGGTATTTTCCAGTTATGATCACCATGCTATACCAGAGGGCAGGGGTGACCTTCCTACACATATACGCAGAGAGCAGCTTGCAGCAACCATTGAGGATGCATAAGTTGGACCAGAAACCCCCAGGTGCCTCATACTCAGGACAAGCAACATCCACTCCCACTCCAGCTGGACAATTGAGGCAGAGGGATTTCAACAAACAGACCAGGTTCATCTTGGATTATGTCCACCAATGCCATATGAGGACGGAGAAATTCCTACAAGAAATGCGCAAGGGCATTGGATGCCCTGAAAATTGCCCAATGCCGCATGATCCACCAGTCCATCCACTCCATGGCATGCCTCAATGAACACTCAGGGAAGTGTTGTTCTAATACCCTTAATCAACAATTTACTTTTTTCTGTTAAAATGATGAATTTTTTGTTAGTTCTGTGTTTTTCTTTGTTTTCTGTTTAATGTGTGTCACCGGGTTTGTTTTGTTAAGCATTGAGGGCAATGCTTGGAATAAGTTTGGGGGAGTAGTAGAGTAGTTTGCGGTCAGGTCAAGTGTCATTTAAGTCTCTTAGGTTCATGTCTAGATCGAGTCTGTAAAATATCTCTAAAAAAATGAAAAAATTTTTTAAGGAGCTGTCAACAGTCTAGGATGATAATGGTTTTGAAAAAAATTTTGCTAAAACACTTTTGATACTGAGTCTGATGCATGAAGGAAAGAATGGCTGACACTCACTCACACACATGAACAATGCCACTGGTGGAAGTGACTGCCTAGAACGTAACGTTTAAACATTTAGCATGACTAATCCACTGTTGTGAGTTGTGTCTAGTTTTGAGCTACAATTAGATGAGAGATGCCGTAAATCTGAGACTTCCTTGTGGTATCCATTCACAGCCTGTTTGTTTTGAAAAAAAAAAATTTAGGGAATGGATCAACTGAAACCTTAGGGGCAACAGCAAGGAACCACCACAAAAAGTTCCAAACTGTTGGAGTAATAAGGGTTGAGGTATAAGGGAGTGGAGAGATAAGGTTGAATAACACCCCTGTTAGGTTGGTCCATCTACATTCCTACATTCAAAAAAAAAAAAAAGCAGAAAGATTGTGCAGGAAGTCCATGATTGAAGCCTCAGTTGGTAAATCGAGTCGAAGTAACTTGGGCAAGACCAGATCACAAGAATGACCACCAAAAGCTTAACCGGTTAACTTAGAATAGATTGGTAGGTTTGGCATGAACTAACACTTGTGGCATATATATATTCTAATGCTATGTGAAGGTTGGTTGTTTGACTCTGGATTGCAGAAAGATTTGGTATCCTTAAGTGTATGTTTTCCTCAATTGAATCTGAGACAAAAGGTTGACAGCACCTATCTAGTTTGTGTTTATGGTTGTTGCTTTGTTCAATGTCACCTGCCTGGGTGGGAATCCTCACTCAGGGGAGTAAGTCCTTCATTTTGACAATGTTATTTTCTCCTGTTTCTTGTGTACAATCCTGTAAGTCCAACAAGAGTTTAGTGGTTATGCTTGAGGACAAGCAATTCTTCCAGTTTGGGGGAGTTGATAATGGTTTATTTGTTACATAAAAGCATCACAATTAACTCTGAATTTAGTAAGAAATTGAGGGATGTTTTCTATCATTAGTGCATTCTACTTAACTAGTTTTCATGTTTTTGTTAGGTTGGGGTTTGATTGCACAATTACTGAAAAATTGAGGCCAAGGGAATAAATTGTGGGCTGCTGAGGCAATGTTGCTAAGCTGGACGAAGAAGCACCTCCTTAGACAAGAAGCATCTTGCTATTAATGAGTATGTCTCCTCCAAGAGGCATGCTTGTCCCCCAACCGAAATTTCAGCCACCCCTGCTGATCAATGAGAGCAATGCTGCCACTTCTGGAAGAAGAGAAGAAGAACAGCCAAATTTGGATTCCAGGCACAAGGCATTGGAAGGATTAAACAAATTACAAGCATGGGGAGGCTCTCATGATGAAAGAACTGGCTGCAAGGCCCTATAAAAGGGGAACTGCACTCTCAGAAAGAATCAATCTCTGGTTACCCTTTCAGTTGCCAAAAACACACAGAAAAACTCCAGGTAGAAGGCAAGAAGGAAGAAGAAGCAACAACAACTCAGTAAGGAAGCCAAGTTGGAGAGTAGCCATCCCAGTTTCTGCTTCAGTTCCATGAGTGAACACTTTCACTCCCAGGAGTGGCTCAGAAACTGCACAAGCTTTTTTCTCGTATCTTGACTGTTAGCTTGAACTTTGTTTATTATGCATATTTCTATGATGTCTTTTGATGTAGTAGATATAGCATTAATCTGTATGAGTAGCTAAGCAGTTTCCAAGGGTTATTCTCCTCAACCTATGTTGTAGTTGTTTAATGCACTAGTTTTGTTCCTTGCTTTGAAGTTGAAAGTTTTTCTACATTCATTTACTTGATCACTAAATTGAATGCATGCTAGAACTAAGGGAGATCTGGAAAGATAAACTTGGTTTGGATTGTTTCAACTTTAACTTATGATATAGAGGTAACAGTCTATGGTTTTAACTAAGATAGGAATATACTTAGTTAACATAAGCATTCTTGAAGGCCTAAGAACTTAATGACTTTGTATCTGAAATCAATCATTGGAAAATAGATTGTTAAGATTGCAAAGATGACTCTAGGAAAAATGGGAACTGACTTAGAGTTATAAGTGAGCTGAATGAACAAGAACTCAACCATTACAGTGCTAATAAAACAACTACAACAGTAGGAAGATGAGAAGAACACCCCTGGCTTTCATTCCCCTGAGTGACTGTTTCCATTCTCCTGAGTGACACATTGCCTGACTGGTAGTCTTTTTTTACAATAATTTTGGTAATTAGCTGTCTTCATGGGATCGACCTAACTTCCATTATCTACAAAATTCATAATCTAAACTAGTAATATTTTTTGTGAACTCGGCACGCACCAACAGGTACCTTTTAAAAAAAAAATTTCACAACTTTGTAAAAATTAAGAACAGCATTAAACCAGTGCTTGCTATCATCTGAATGCATAATTCTCTCTCTCCATAGTGCCTTCCTCCGCCCCATTTTAGTTTCACGAAGTGAAAGTACAATATCAATATTTTAAGTTTAATATGTGACCTCAACATTTTCATTGCTTTATAGGTCGATGATTTTGTTTGGTTTTTTGGATGATTTTTTCAGATTATTTTAATAATAATTGTCTCATCCTAACAGACCTTTTTACATTTTCAGTATGCATTTTTACATTATCAATACAAAAAGTACCTAAAAATACACACTAAAAAAACGAAACAAACATAGTAAAACAAACAAATACTTTACAAGATGTTATTAATTTCAATATACATTAAATATAAAGCATTTTCGAGTAAATTCAGCTTTATGTTTTTGATATTGCAAAAATTCAAATAAAATCTACCAAGTTATAACAATCAAGATCAAGATTGTTTGGACTCTAGAGACTTCAAATATTTTAGAATTATAGCATCCTTAAGCTAGAATTATCGTTCTGTATGATTACAATTAAGTGACATACATACGTATCTCCATCATTGTCTCACAAGTAGACTATTCATAGTATCTTCGAATAAAAACTTTTATTTTACTTTATCAGAAAACTAAAATCATATACTCTAGTTAAAAAAAAAAAAAAAGTTTTACTTTGAGCACTAAAAATAATAAAATTTCAAATAAACCAAGGGTCCAAAAACAGCCAAAAGATAATCGGTTAATTGGTCAACATTTCAACTGTCCAACTCCAAACTCCCACTTGTTAACGTTTATCACACATTTCGACTTTCAAATGAAAAAAATCCAAATTTCCAAACCTTTTTGTTTCCCCTTTCCCCCAATCTTTCATTCTTTGTCTTCTCATTTCTTCTTATTCTACTATGGCTTTGCTCACTCCAATTCCAGTCACTTCTTCCCTCTTGTTTTGCAGAACCAGTGGACCTCAATCTCCACCATTTTACAGAAAACGATTTGCCCCTTTACATGCTTCTCTGAGCTCTTCTTCTTCGCCATCTTCTTCTTCTTCTTCTCCATCTTCGTCGTTTGTTGAGTCTCCGAGCTCAGAAAAGGGAAACAATTATGCTTCAGGCAACTCAAATGGGACCCCTGTCTTGAAATTCGTTCAGTCTACTGAATCATCCATTGAAAGGGTACCTTCCATCGTGTTTAAATTTACCATTTGGGATTTTTGCTACTTATGATTTCCTGGGTTTGATTTTTTTTTGGGGGGGTTAGGGGGAACAATTGGAAATTAATTATTTTCTGTTTTGGTTAAGTAATTTCCTTGATGTTTTTTCTCTGTGTGATGGGATGATATGGATCAATGTTCTCGTTTTGGTCCTGAATTGATTCCAATTGACAAGGCCCAAATCATGAATTTTGTTCAATATCTAAACATTTTGAGTAGTAAATTTTTCTATTTTGCTTCTCTGCTATTGAACTCTGAAGATATGCATGAATGTAGATGAGTTCATATCACTTTAATTAGCAATGTTTTTTTTTTTTTTTTTTTTTGCTTTTTGTTGTTTTAATGCCTAAGGCTGAAGAGGCTGGCATATGCTCCTGTTTCCGTGGATCATGGCTTCTAAAGTTTTTATGTTATAGCCCTTCTTTGTTAGTAACTGCAAAATGTTTGCTGAGCTGATCAACTCCATCTTTACTGGATGGAAGTTTCCATGAATATGTGAAATTACATCCAAGGGCAGATAATCCAGGAAATTGAAGCTCAGTTTAGTAGTTCATGATATACGTTGAAGAGATAATTATTACTGGCAGATTTTGCTTGGTGAAAAAATCATTGGAACGAATGACTTTGGGTGCCATCTAACGCTATTATTTTGAAAAAAAAAAAAAAGAAGAAGAAGAAGAATAACTGCATATCTTAGTTAGGTTCTTCATGGTGTTACCATCTGCTTGTGAGTTCGTTGATAACTTTAATAACTTTCTCCTACTTCCTTGATGTGCAGATTATTTTTGACTTCCGCTTCTTGGCACTTTTAGCTGTCGGGGGCTCTTTGGCTGGTTCAGTGCTCTGCTTTCTTAATGTAAGTCTCTTACCCTTTCTAGTTTAGTTAGTGGAGGTGAAACTCAAAATTGATTTATTAATGTTATACTTCTTCTGCATTTGGTCCTACAAAATATATCATGTCTGATGTTGTAAAGTATCTATTAGTATCTCTAGCTTGGGTGATAAATATCCAGCTTTAATGTTCTAAATGTCAACCCTGCCCTATACATTTCTCTTGGATGGAAAGTGATGATTCTAATTGAAAGTTTTTCAGGACTAAACCTATGCGAAAACTTTTCTTTTGTTTTTGATGGTTCTTATAGAAACACTAAGTTACTGACAGTACCCTTTCTACATAGTAATGATTGTAAGGATTGTTTCCTGTCATTCCAATGGATGTGCTATCTTATGGAATCCATATCTAGTGAAAACATCACGTTGCTTTCTTGCACATTTTATTTACCTTCTGAAATTATATTGAAAGCTGTTATACGGTGCTTGCACATCTTGGTGTAACTTCTATGTCAAAGTTTCCACTTTTTCCAAGGTGCCTCTGTTAAAAAAGATTAAAGTTAAGATATGGATTACGGAATTGCTAAGTTGGTAATATTAGTATGTGAAGTTGTTTTCTGAAATAACTCTCTAAAACATTTTAACCGAGTATCTGAAGAAACTCCTTCCAATGTAGTTAATTAGCTTTGTAAATTTAAGTGTATTTGGTTATGCTTACTGACTAAAGTCCTTTCAGGGTTGCATATACATCTTTGAAGCATTCAAAGTTTATTGGACAACATGTGTCAAAGGACAGCACACTGGTAATATGGTTCTGCGACTTGTTGAGGCGATTGGTGAGTTCCAAACTACTTACTGTACATCCGAATATCTATTAATACAAATTTTATGCTGGATTGCTGAAGCCACTTTTTGCTGGTTCTCTGGACATTATCTATAGTGGTCAAATAGTTACATCTACATCTTTTGCTAGAATTGTAGTAGCTTACACAGTAGATGTTTCACTTATTAAATAATGCATAAAATGGTTTGAGTTCTTTGACACAGTTTATGTGTCCTGTTTTATGTCTAATATTAAAATTGCGATATGGTTTCGCTATTTGTACGAGTAACTTGTCTCTTCATCCTCATATGAAGGCACAATTCTCTCTACCCCTAGTTGTCCTTTGTCATCTGAAAGGTTCAGAAGACAGAAGTGAGCTCTTCTCAAACCTTAATAAATACACTTACTGCTGAATTATATCCTGAACTTCAATCAGCAAGCATCCCCGTACTGTTTCACTCGTTACTATAAGTATTATTTATTTCAGCTGTCCTCTAAACTTGTGAGCTCGATGACTAAAAAAAATTCATGCACTTTCTCTCTTTTTCTTTTCCTTGAGTATGTGGTCATTGGGAATCTCCTTTGGCATTTGGTTTCCTTTCGCTCTACGAGGATTGCTTGTTTGAAGTACATATTTTTTGGTGCATTTGTTTTCTTAAATACTTTTAAAAAAATTCTAAAATGCTTCTACCTAACCTTGGTACTTAAAAAATCATTACATAAGGAGCTATTACGTGTGAACCCAAAAAGAAGGTCTCTTGCTCATTGTTTATGTCTGGTTAAGGTCCAGGCATTGACTATAAAATGCCAGTTATTACTGGATAGCCTGTGTCGTATCTATGACTTTGTGAGAATAACCTTGCTACTTGCTCAAGACAAGACAACTCTTATCTTGATGTTAGTAGTGAACCCTGCAAAATTCTCTCCTAGAAATAGAATGGACAGTAAGGCACTAATAATAAGAATTTGGAAATTAAAGTTCTTCCTGAGAGTATAATTAACCGATAACTCCCTTTTTCGAGTTCTCCACTTTTTTACTTGTTTTTCTTCAATTGCTCTGTATAATTGTTGTTGGCCAAGGGAAGACTTGAAACTTTAGTACTGGTAGTCTTCTTTTCCGCTAGAGTATCATTACCCAAACTCCCTTTTTTGAGTTCACTTTTTTACTTGTTGTTTTTCTTCAGTTTCTCTATGTATTTCTGGTCTGCGATGATCTTTAAGATAAAATTTTTTCTGTTTCTAGGCAAGTATTGGACATTCACTCAAAAAAAAAAAAGAAAACAAAAAGAAATGGACTTTCTGCGAACCATTTGTTTGATCCCTTCTTTTACTATTAATTTTATAATTTTAAAATTGGTTGCAGCCATTGTTGATGATTATTCATTCTTTTACAGATGTATATCTTGCTGGAACCGTGATGTTAATTTTTGGTATGGGGCTGTATGGTTTGTTTATCTCCAATGTTGACCCTAATATCGCTGCTTCTTCTGATCGTGCACTCAAGGGATCTTCCTTGTTTGGGATGTTTGCTTTAAAGGTATCTATTTCCTGTCATCTGTGCATGTTTACCTTCCAAAATGCATCTCGAAATTTCTGCATCCTTTTTTATGTTTTCAATATAATTTCATCCCAAGTTCTCAAGGGATTCTTAAAGTATCCATCCAATCTTGGGACTTGGTTTGGTAAGAATCAATTTCTGCTTTATCATTGCTTCTCACATGCTGCAACACTCTCGATGTTTTGCAGGAGAGGCCAAAGTGGATGAAAATTAGCTCACTCGACGAGTTAAAGACTAAAGTAGGGCATGTTATCGTAATGATTCTTCTTGTAAAAATGTTTGAAAGAAGCAAGATGGTAACGATTGCAACTGGTATGGATCTGTTAAGCTATTCTGTAAGTATATTTCTGTCTTCGGCCTCCTTGTATATTCTTCACAACTTGCACAAAAGCGAATAAGAGGTCGTGGACAAACTGTTCGCTCGATCTCACATAATATGTTAACATTACGACGATGTAATATATTTGTTTATAAGTGAAGTGTCTGCCATTTACATTTCTGCGAGCATGATTTTTTAGAGAAGATGTGAGAAAACTGCGCTAGTTTGACTGGGTTTTCGTACGAGAATGTCTTGGGGAAATATGTTTTGTGGCAAGTGCATCTTGGTAACGGATGACCACAAAACTAAATTACCAAGATTTTTTCGTGAATTTTTTTTTTTTTCTATTTAGAATGTAAATAGAATTGGGTTTTCTTTTTAACAACTTCATCGAAGTAATTTTTTCAAGATACAAAACACAAGTGTTATGGAAATACGAAAAAAGAAGAAGTTAATTTTGTTCAAGACACAAAACAAAAACAAGCCAATTATGTTTTTTTTTTTTTTTTTTTTTTGACTACTTCACCATTATGAACGTAAAAAGGTAACGAAAATAATTCTAAAAATAAATTTTCAAGACACAAAACAAAGATAAGCCAATAATGCTCTCTTTCTAACTTCACCGAAGTAATTCCAAGTTGCACATCCGCTGAGAAAGTGCATAATCTAGTTGTGGGCTGCTATTTGTTATCTCATTTCAGGTATCGTTCTTTTTAGATGAATCTTATCATAAAATTAAAATACACAAATTCTTTTATTCCTCTTTTCTAAATTCTCCCAAACTCTAAAATAAAAAGGAATAAAATAATTTCTTCAATCCGGTAGCTGCAATAATGAAAAATCGAAAGGATCTTAGTTGAGGCAAAGGTCCATTGATAAATTAAGGTTTTCAATTTTTTAAAATTCTTCTTTAAATTTCTGAAAATAAAAAGAAAAGAAAAAAAGATTGAAAGGCTGCCACCCAAAAACAGTTTGTGGGGAAATTTCTTTTTATTTTTGGTTTTGTTTTATTATCATGATCTTCTCGATTGTATGTGGGGAGAGTGTTTTTTTTTTCTTAATGATCTTTTATACATAACTGATTTCAAAAAAAAAAAAAAAACAAAAAAAGCACATTCAGGCCGATCGAGATATCTGGCGATCGCACCCTATCATAGCCTGTTTGTACCACATATGGGAGGAACGTAATGGCAGACTATTCCAGCAAAAACGAAGATCAGAGGAAGAGATTATTCAAAATGAAGTAAAAGTTAGATTAGAGTTCTGTATAGGAAACAGACTAAATGATAGAGAAAGAATTATCATAGAGCAAATGTAAAGTTAAATATGAACCAGGGAAAAAGATGAAAGAAGAGGATCATCTCTATATGTAATAGAGAAGTGATACAGTGGATGCTAACTGTGAAGCAAGTGATATATGAATTTACATTTTCATCAAAAAAAAAATCACAAAAAAAAATCCAAATAAAATATTTTTATAATCTTTAAACTCAATTACTCTAATGTCAATTTTATTAGCAAAAAATAAAAATTTCACATATAAAATTACGAGAAAATTCAAGTAAGACATCTTTCTTATACTTAAACCCAATCTCTAATCTCATTAAAAAAAATATATTGAAATTTCACAAATAAAAATACAAGAAAAATTTAAGCAAAACATTTTTCTTATATTCAAGTAATACTATTTAATTTTCACCCACCTTTTCTAATTTTTTTTTTACAATTGACTTATTTTTTGTATTTTACACAATTACTCCCTCCATTCTAAAATATAAGTGTTAGATAAATTTCACAAAGTTTAAGGAGGTATTAAATACCTTGTTAAAATATTGAATTGCTCTCATTTACTTCCAAGAAAATTCTAATCCCAATAATATTTAACTTTAATACTCCCTCCGTTCTTAAATGATTACCCTGTTTGAATTTTTTGTTTTAGTACAAATTTGAAATAAAAGTAAAAAATCTAAATTGGACAATAATTTCAGGACATGAGAAATACAATTTTACTTACAACACACCACAACTACAATTTTCCTGTAAAGGCGATATTGAAAAAATTGGCAAAAATGCTTTGTTTTGTAAAAACGACGTATATTTTGAAAATTTGATTTTTTTTTCTCCACCTATATATATTTTGGAATAGAGGGAGCAATAGATAATCTATGCATCTGGTATATTTTACAAATAAGAATCGAATTAATAATACTATCATATTTTTATTCCGTACTACACACTGAAGAGAACCTAATTTCTACTGAAAACAATACAAAAATCAGAACTCCCCACTCTTAAAATTATTGTCCAATTTTGTTAGTTCCTTTTGTTAAAAGAAAAGAAATGAAAATCTAAAACAATAATTTTGAGAGCAAGGGAGTATACTTTTGGCACAAGTGGTAAAAAAAAATAAAAAATTCCGGATAAAACAAAAACTCGACACTCGCTTCTCGCTTCAGCCGCCTCCCTTTCCACTGCCGACGAATGCATCAATCTTTCCTTCCGCCGGTCGCCTTGTCGGCCACCCGTCGTTTATGGTAACTAACCCTAAAATTTATCTACTTTTTAATTTCTCATGCTACCTGTCTAGAAGAAATGGATCAATCATAGGCTAGGGTTTCGAGTTTGATGAAGAATAGAGAGTAAAAATCGATTTGGGGATTTTAGAATCTGAATTTCTATTTCTGTATATGATAATTCTATACAAAGTGTACTATATATACATGTATTTATACTGATTTCCTAACCGACTTACCAGACTTATTTAATGTGTCTGAATATATGTACAATTACCATTATAACCCCTACTTAACTTACTCTCCTATACAAACCGTGAGGTTAAATCTGTACATAAGAAAAACTATACACAAAACAGTTATGAACAGAATTTACAGCAGAACATCAAGATTGATGCTGCACATTTCAACCCGAATCAATCTTGAAACTCTCTTGATCCCCTCCGTAAGCTGGAAAGGCAAGAAATTTCTTCACTCCAAACTTGGACAGCAATGAAGCAAACTATGGGAAAGCTAAGGACTTGGTGAATAAGTCTTTAATTTGTTCATGAGTTGAAACATGAAGGGGAACAAGAAAACCTTTCTGGTACTGTTCTCTAACAAAATGATAATCAATGTCAAGATGTTTTGTGCGTTCATGAAATACAGCATTCTCAATGATCCCAATGGCTGCCTTATTATCAAACCATAAGGGAATAGGAAGAGGCAAAGCAACCTTGAAATCAGAGAGCAAATAAGAGATCCATAACAGTTCCTTGCTGATCATGCTGAGACTTCTGTATTCGGCTTCAGCAGAGGAACATGAGATAGTAGACAAGGACCGAGGAACACACAATATCCAGTAAGTGATCTTCTGTGTATTGGATTAGTGCCCCAGTCTGAATCTGCATAAGCTTCCAATTTAAAATCAGACTATGATGGATACAGAAGATAAGTAGTGGTTGTTCCTTTAAGATACTTCAAAGTGTGCATCAAGGCATTCCAATGATCCAGACAGGGAGCATGAACATGCTTACTCAGTTGCTGAACAGCAACGGAGAGATCAGATCTTGTAAAGTTCAAATGCAGAAGCTTCCCAACCAATTTCCTGAAAAGAGAAACATCCTAAATAGGCACTTAGCAATCTTCTCCAAACTGGTGACTCTTGGGTAAAGGAGTGGTTGTAGGCTTGCAACCAGATAACCCCATGTCTTGTACAATACCCATGATATACTTTCTCTGGCTAAGATACATTTCCTCAGATGACCTTGCCAACTCAATTCCTAAAAAATACTTGGCATAACCAAGATGTTTTATAGTAAAAACCTTGTGAAGAAACTCCTTTACTGCAATTATAGCAGCCTCATCAGAGCCCACAATTAAGATATCATCCACATAGACAATGAGAGTCATGAACTGAACTCCACTGCTAAGAGTAAAAAGACAAGGATCATGTTTGGATTGAAGAAAACCATAAGCTTGTATTCTGGAGGTGAACTCAGCAATACACTGTCTGGAGGCTTGCTTCAAGCCATAAAGGAACCTTTTTAGTTTACAGACTTGACCTGGTTTAGCTTGAGTATAACCTTCAGGTGGTAACATATAGACCTCTTCTTCCAAGCTTCCATGCAGAAAAGCATTGTTGATGTAGAGCCCAGTGATTTGCAGCAGCTAAGGCCAACAAAATCCTGACAGTAACAATCTTAGCAACAGGAGAGAAATTGTCGTAAAAATTTTCACCCTCTGCCTGATTGTAGCCCTTAGCCACCAATCTTGCTTTGGATCTTTCAATGGTTCCATCTAAGTGATATTTCACCTTATACACCCATTTTGAACCTATTGCTTTCTTTCCTGGAGGCAAAAAGGTTAGTTCCCAAGTATGATTTCCTTCTAAAGCATTCAATTCATTTTGCATGGCTGATATCCATTCTGGACAAGTTCTGGCTTGAAGACAGGATTTTGGTTCTTTAACAGCATCTATATGTGCTAGAAAGGCTAAATGTTGATAAGATAAAACCGGTTGACATGTATAGGCTGTATAATTTGCCAGATTGGCAAAATGATCTGAGGAAGTTGTTTTTCTTTTGACATGATGAGAGACATAGTCTTTCATCCAGACAGGATCTTTAGATATTCTAGTACTTCTTCTGGGTAGAGATGGAGGATTTTGTTCTGAAACGGACTCAGAAAGATGTGGAATATTAGGATCAATGTTATGATCAAAAAAAGAATTTGGTGAGTGTTCTTCCTGAAAAATTTCAGTGTGAGGAAAAATTGGTGTAGAAGTAGGAGGTTGAATAGGATAAGATGTAGTAGAAGTGGAAGTAGGCCAGGATTCTTCTATATAGGTATTAGGAAGTGATGTAGATGGGGTACTAGTGGTTTTGACCATCTTATAGGGAAAAATGGTCTCATGAAAAATCACATCTCTTGATATGATTATCTTCTTGTTTATGGGATCATACAGTTTATAGGCCTTCTGATCTGGTGGATATCCAGTGAAAATAGTTTTGGTTGCTCTGGGTTCAAATTTGGTTTTGTGAGGAATGGTTTTTGTGGCAAAACACAAACAACCAAAAGACTTCAAATGATGGTAATCTGGTAGTTTGGAGAACAAAAGCTCATATGGGTTTTCCCTTCTAAGACTCAAGAAGGTAATCTATTTATGAGATATGTGGCTGTCAAGATGATACCCCCCCCCCCCTCCCCACAAAAAAAAAAAGAATTTAGGTTATCCTGATGGGAAAAGAAGTGATGTTGCTACTTGAAGAAGGTGTTTGTATTTTCTCTCCACAACATCATTTTGTTGTAGAGTATATATACAGGATTTTTGGTGAATGATACTTAAATCTGAGAATAAATCCTGACAATCCTTCCCAATAAATTCTAAGCTATTGCCAGTTATAATGGATTTTATGGATTTTGGGAACTGTGTTTGAATGAGTTTGATAAAGGTTTTGAGCTGAGTGAAGGTTTGAGATTTATCTCTCATAAGAAAAGTCCAGGTTGTTCAACTGAAATAATCTACTATGGTTAGGAAATAATGAGCTCCACAAAGTGATTTTTGACTATATGGCCCCATATGTCCACATGAATAAGCTCAAAAATTTCAGAAGTATAAATAATACTAGTTGGAAATGGTAATCTATGCTGTTTAGCCAAAGGACAAACTTCACAAATAGAAGTATTATTCTCTGATGAATCAAACAAAGAAAGCATTTGTACAACCTTATCAGATGGATGGCCCAATCTAACATGCCACAAAGTATTATTCTGACTGTTTACATTATTATAAGAATGAAAGTCAATTGACTTAACATTCCTTACAAAAGGATGGTTGACATGTGTCCTAATAAAATCTAGAATCCCGTGGTAACCAATTAATCAAGTATGTATAAAAGAGTCCTAATAAAAGAATCATGTAGCAACCAATTGATCAAGTATGTATAAAATCTAGAATCCTAATAAAAGAGTGATGATCAAGTATGTATAGCTGATTAATAACTCTTCCCACAGCAACCAATTGTCTAGTCACTTAGTCCTGTAAGAGGCAAAATGTAGTGGAAAAATAGCAATCAATCTTTGAGGATGATGCTAATTTGGACACAGAAATGAGATTATGTTTGAATGATGGTATATGTAAACAGTCATATAGCATCAGGTTTTAACTCAAAACAGTCTGGCCTTTATGTTTTACTTCTGTTATACTACCATCTGGTAAATACGCTGGTCTAAGACAATGATGGCAATCATGTAGATGAACCAAATTTCATTAATGGAACCATCCACAAGAAAGATCTTAAAAAGATGTTTAAAAGTGAAACTCTAAAAGAGTGCGAAATTTTCACAAATAAACTAGACCGTTGAAAATAATTCCTATACCTTATGAACTCAAGCAAAAGATCATAACACAAAATCCAAATAACCATTCGGATTGAACAACTTAATCTTTAAAAGATGAAACCCTTCAATAAAATCGAACAATCACCCATATAATTGACGACACATGTAAAGAGCAAATCACTCACTCAACTACAAACAAACCGATATGTCTCTAAATTGGACCATATACATTCATAACCAAGGTAATAAGCAAAACAAAACACATTATTCGTCATGCTATTTCCATACAAACTCATCTATAAAATAGATAAACCAACAAGGTATCCTCCAACCCTAGGATACAAAGAATTCAAACAAACCAAGCAATTTATCATGCTCAACCTATCGACCTTCATATCAAAAGATGATAAGAACATTAGTTTTAAAACTATTAAATCATGCAATATGCTCAACATGATAAAACGGTTTAACTCAAATAACCAAGTCACACGTTAGGCTCTAAGAAAGAAAGAAAGAACTAACCATTCTTCTCCTTCAAAACAACAAGAAATGCTCATTATTTAAGAAAAACCACAAAGGGTTCAAAATCAATTTATTTGATTCAATAACTCATATTATTCGACACACACATTGTGAGAGGATTCGGCCACCTTATATAGGTAAGCTCCCTTACCCTCCAAGACAAAATCCCTACTATTTAGCCTTTACTTTAGGGCAAATAAACTCTACTTTCCTTGTACTACTCAATCCAATTCACAGAAAGAAAAGACGTAGTCAATTTTAACTCAAACTCTAACTAAACTTAACCATCAAGCAAAGTAATTAACTTTACTTCTTTAATGATAAAAGACTAATCTACCCTTAATGAAATACTCTCTAAGGCCAGATATACATTAACCTTTAAACCCTAATTTAATGAAACCATAGGACTCCCTCTCGGCCGCCCTATTGAATTTACCCTTATGGTAAACTTTTTATTTTAACTCTACGTAGATAGACTTATTATCTATTTACGGACTCAACAATAATTTAAATAAGTACTTAAATATTTTTCCCGTGCGGATCTTCCTCTTCTTTGGTGCGCACGGCTCCATTCAAAACTCCAAACTCCAATAATGTCTTCTATACACTTGAATATGATCTCTTCAAGACGCTTGCTCTTTGGAACAAACTCACTTGCATCAATCTCTTGGACACCACTTTAATCTTCATCACTTGAATCACTCCAATGATTAGCAAAGTCTTCATTAGATTCTTCCAACCCTTGATCTTCACTAAGCGATTCTTCTTCAACCTCAATGTTCCCACTAGAATGTGTTGGTGATAACTTTTCCAAGGAAGGCCAAGTTCTCACAGCAAACTTTCTTCTATTCTTAAACGGAAATAATCTTGAACCACCAACTGACAAGAACACCTTTTTCTCCTTCATTTGATGTTGACTTCGATGTGAAGCCATATGATTCTCATCAGACAATCTACTGGCTTAAAATGAGAAAGAAGTTTTATAGTGGATGTCATGTACCAAAATCTAGAATCCAGCATAGAAGTAACAAACATTCAAAAGAACTTAATGCTCTAAAAGTAGTCATACCTGCAAAGTCTAAGAAATAAGCATAGTTGATAAGCTCTGCTTCTGATCCTTTGCCCTTTATCATCCTGTTAAGCTCCATTTCCATTCTCCTGATGTTGTTCATCATTCCCATCAGATCATCAGATTCTTCCTTTTCATTTCCAAGAGCCACATCAGTTGGTGTTTCTGCCATATGTGCTGTGATTCTGCCAGCATTTGAATTCCTCTGATCCTTCAAATCCTTAAACCAGTCTGGATAACCTATAATCTTGAAACATCCACTTCTAAGATGTCCAGTCATACCACATTGATCATATTTCAATAGCTTCTTAGCAGCTTTGTCAAGTCTCAGTTCATTTTCCTTTCCAATATTGTTGTAGCTGCTTCTTGACACAGAAGGATTTCCAGTCTGATTACCAAGATTGGTGTACTTTCCCTTTAAACTAGATCCAACATTATATGTTGACTTTTGAACCATCATAGCACTTTGGGAAACAGCATTGTCAAGATCAGTATATAACTGTTGTTGCTTCTCAATGTTCATCACCATTGCATATGCTCGCTTAACCTCTGGAAGCGGTTCTGTTGCAAGAATTTGATTCTTGATAGGCATATACACATCATTGAGCACTGTTAGGAATTGCATAAGCCTGTCCCTAGCCTCTTTCCCTCCATTCGGTCGATTATGTTTGCAGGTGCAACCATGACAAACACAAACATCAGGTGTATCAATGTTGTTCAATTCATCCCTTAACTTCTTCAACTTAGTATAATAACTGGACAATGGCATGTTTCCTTGTGCAAACCTTGCAATCTCTCGTTTCAGCTAGTAAACCTGCGGAGCATTGCTCGTGCCAAAGCTATCTTTTAATTCCTGCCATAAGTCCTAAGCATCTTCTGCCATATTAAAGCCTTCAAGAAGATCACAAGAAATCGAGTTCAATATCCAAGACACCACAGTGTCATTCACCCTACACCACTACTCAAATTCCAGACTTCCATCCTTTGGTCTCTCAACAGTTCCTAGAATGAATCCAAGTTTGTTCTTCGAGCTCAAAGCTCTCCTTGTTGAGTGATTCCAAGTCACATAGTTGCTCAAACTCAATTGACAATTGATAATTGTCAAACTCCAACTGTCAGATGGTAACAAAGTTAAATGGATGCATATATCCACCAAAATTCACAGCCGAATTCTCTCTTCGAGTCTCGCTGAAGCTTCGATCATCATGATAATCATCGTTCCTTGAATCAATTCGAATTTCATCAGTTCTTGTCACTTCGTGATTCTTCCGCAAAATGATTCGCAGCCATTACTACGAATTAACGGAAGTGGTTTATGAGGTTTATCAAGATTTACTGTCTAGAACGATTTTCAGAAGCAGGATTGACCTACTCTGATACCATCTATAAGAAATGGATCAATCATAGGCTAGGGTTTCGAGTTTGATGAAGAACAGAGAGTACAAATCGATTTGGGGATTTTAGAATCTGAATTTGTATTTCTGTATGTGATAATTTTGTACAAAGTGTACTGTATATACATGTATTTATACTGACTCCCTAACGAACTTACCAAACTTATTTAATGTGTCTGAATATATGTACAATTACCATTATATCCCCTACTTAACTTACTCTCTTATACAAACTGTGAGGGTAAATCTGTACATAAGAAAAACTACACACAAAATAGTTATGAACAGAATTTACAGCAGAACATCAAGATTGATGCTGCACATTTCAACCCAGATCAATCTTGAAACTCTCTTGAACCTGATTTCGAAAAGGGGTTTGTCAAATTACTTATTACATTGTAGATTTCCCCTATTTATCCTAGGTTGTTAAGAAAACTGAAAGAGAGAAATACATTGATTTTTACGTTGATTTTCGGTCTTCATCGTCATCAGGGTTTGGTGTTGTGGGAGGGAATCCGATAAGGAAGTAGTCAAACATGGTATTACCTAATGACTTTGTGTTTGAATTGCTCCGACGATTACCAAGGAGGGATTTGAAGGAATGCCAGTGTGTTTGCAAGTCTTGGTGAGCAATCATCGAGAGTCCTCGGTTCTCAGAGGCTCGGGGTACTCCCCGCCTGACGCAGGACAAAACGTGGTGGTTAAGAAATCAGAACTGAGGCTGATTAAAGAGTAGTATGCAGTAGAAAATCAATAGAAAACTGTAGGGAATAAGGGTAGAAATCACATGAAAACAGAGATAATCAATAGGAAGAAGAAGAAAACCTAAGAATCATTCTTAGGGCCCTTTGGCGTCACACCGCAGGATTCCTAGGCGTCACACCAAGTTTTTAGTTGAGTCACACAACTGTTGTTGAAAGCAAAAGCTTGCAAAAATTTTATTGATCTCATAACCGTCCAAAACCCTCAAACGAGTTACATATATATAGGCCTAAAACTTAACCTAAACCAAAAACAACTAGGATTCACACCTAATTTCCTTTTTATTCCAAAAAAATCCTGCAGCATAGCTAATATACTAAAATACCCTTTCCTAAAAATTATTACTGAAGATAATAAACTAATTAAATTAATTGTTGCTTAAGAATAATAGATTAACTCAACCAAAGTCCTAATACTTTGGTTCCTTCCTTGGCTGATGATGATCCTGGGCATGAGAATGGAGTATCCTAAAGATAGAGTTCTTAGGCCCTTCTTTGTCCGCATTATTCTCACCTGGTTTGAAAACCTCGTCCTCGAGTTCTAAAATGTCTGAGAATGAAGAACCCAAAACTCTGCACCTTCAGCCATTTGTTTGCAGCATAATCAGTAACAAAGAACTTCCTTTGTTTAAGACCATATAGAGGCAAAGACATTTGAAGTTTGTTCTCTTGCATGGACTCATGACCCTCACCAAGAAGAAAATCAGTCTTTGAGATTCCAAGATCATAAATCTTGAATTGAACTGGTTCAGAAAGATGATCAGTTTCAGACTCCATGATAATATCATTTAGGTTACGCTAGATGCCAAGCTTTTTGAGTACCTTTGTGTGATCCTGACATGAACTAAGATACTTCATGAACTGGTTTTCAAAATTCCCCTTATCGCAGAAACTTTCTCCCACTGCACTTGAATTCCATCAAAATTCTGAAGTTGTACTCCAGTTTGCCTTTCAGCAGACTTATTAAGTGTACAATCTGGTGAGACATTGCTCTCATTAAGCTTAATTCGCTGAACTGCCTAAACGCCATCATCTTCCACCCATTCATTCATGGCTTCTCCTTTATGATCCTCTTTAAAAACCTGAGCAGCTGTAGCTTTATTTAGCCTCCTTTCGAAACTCCTGAACCACATAGACCACAGGATTATTGTCTTGTTGAAACACAGGATCAAGAAGTTCATCATTGGAATTTTCTAAAGATGCCTCTACATTCTGAACGCCTGAATCTTCCATTGTAGTCTCCTGAGCTGCAAGGACCAGCGAGCTGCTATCTTGAACTAAATGAACAATAGGTTCATTCTTGAACGTTTCTACATGCTCAACCAAATTTTGATTCTTAACAGCCTCCCTGCACACGTCCACTATGTGTGAGGCTGTAAAATCAAGTGGTTGTGGAGGTTTTTCTGTCTGAAAATCAATAACATTAAGACCATGTTTTCCATCTTCAGTAGGACAACTAAGAATTTTCTTATTTTGTTCTACTTGATTCTGGACAAACTCAGTTGGAGGTAGAATTCTAACCAGAAACTTTTTTCTCCTCCTTAGTAACATTCAGAGCTGAAACCTCAGGAATCACTTGATCCCTTTTTGGCTTAGTTGAGCAATGATTCATCATATATTCATCAATCTGGCTTCAAAACAATTTTTAGGTTGTTAAAGCTAAAGGAGTATGTGTTGGCTTTGCCATCATGCTCTACTTCCCAATCATATAACCAAGGCCTTCCTAAAATTATATGTGAAGCATTCATGGGAATAACATCACACCATATAGAATCAACATACCTACCTCTTTTGATTTCTACCAAAAAACACTTTGTCACGGGAATAGTGGTGCCATTAATCCAACCAACCTTATGTGGATATAGATGTGGCTCAGCCTTTTCACAGTCGATTCAAAAACCAAATTCGCACTACTATCGCCATCTATATTCATTTTCTTGACAGCTTTCCCACAATAAACCAATGTCTGAAAGATTTCTGTCCTTCTCCAATCTTCCTCTCCTGTTTTTGGTGCTCTAGAAATTCGCCAAATTAGTGAAAGATAAGACATATCAACATTGTCTTCTACCTCTTCCAAATCATCAGTATCAAATATGCCCATCTCCTCTTCATCATCATTATACTCCTGCTCATCTTCCTCTACGATTTCTGAACTACAAGGCAAATTAGGATAACCTATGCTATGGGGATTCATAGCTGTTGATCTCCAAACCCTTTTGAAAATAGAATTCATCAGGAAAATCAATTCCAATCTGATCAAAAAAATATTAAAACCCCAGAAAATTCAGCTCAGATGCCAAATTGATGTAGGACAAAACGTAGTGGTTAAAAAATCAGAACTTAGGCTGATTAAAGAGTACTATGCAACGGAAAATCAATAGAAAACTGTGGGGAATCGAGGTAGAAATCATAGAAAAATAGGGATAATCAGTAGGAAGAAGAAGAAAACCTAAGAATCACTCTAAGGGCCCTTTGGCGTCACACTGCAGGATTCCTAGGCGTCACACCAAGGTTTTAGTTGATTCACACAACTGTTGTTGAAAGCAAAAGCTTGCAAGAATTTTATTGATCTCATAACCTCCAAAACCTCAAACGAGGTATATATATATAGGCCTAAAACTTAACCTAAACCAAAGACAACTAGGATTCACACCTAATTTCCTTTTTGTTCAAGAAAATCCTGCAGCATAGCTAATATACTAAAATACCCTTTCCTAAAAATTATTACTGAAGATAATAAACTAATTAAATTAAATGCTGCTTAAGAATAATGGATTAACTCAACCAAAGTCCTAACACTTTAGTTCCTTCCTTGGATCATGATGATCCTGGCATAAGAATGGAGTATCCTAAAGATAGAGTTCTTAGGCCCTTCTTTGTCCGCATTGCCACCTGGGCCTTTTAGTTTATTTTGAGCAGCCAGACAACATTGACTTCCCGCTGAACACCTGGAATCGACAGCTCTGTATGTTCAATTCCTGTCTTGAGGTTGAAGATGGAGGTCCAGCTCCAGAATTTGAATGCTTGCGTAAAGTGCCCGCCTTTGTTTGGTCCAAGGGATGGAGAGGAATGACAGAGGTAACCGCGGATGGCCTGGCTTGTTCTTATAGTTATGGACTTTTGAAAGTTTGGAATGTTTATACTGGACAGAGTATGAAGCTCCCGATTCCCCCTATGTGTATGCACTTATATAGTTCTTTTGAAGGATATTACTCCAAAAGATGGCTTTATTTTGGGTATGATCCTAAAGGCAGGGTGTATAAGTTGCTTCAATTGCATGATCCTTGTCACTTCAATGTTGGGTTTCTTCCAGCAGACATCCTGACCCTTAGAATGGCATCTTCTCCGGTTTCTTATTGGAGGGAATTGCAGAACGAAGATGTTGTTGGTACTGCTGATGGGCCGTCTTTTGCTTTTAGACTCGAAGCTCACGGTAAATCACAGTTTTCCGAAAGTTTTTATTCAGCTGATGGATTCATGTATTGGATGGCATGGCTACACGATGGGGAAAATCTTTTGCTGTCTTTTGATCTTAACAAGGAAAAGTTCCAATGGATTAGGCTTCCGGAGTGGGGTTGCAATATCACACGATCCATGGGGTGCCTAGCTTTGTAGTTTCCTCCTATTAGGGATAATATTGAAGGTTACGTTTTTTGACTGTTTACATTGGAAGAGAATGGAACCAACTGGGCTAAACATGTAATTCCCTTGCCCTCAGAACTTGGAGATGATCAGTCTTCTGCAGAGTTCGTTGATGTGATTGGAAATATTCTGACTGGTGAGATTCTGTTGCTGAACCTTGAGATAGAAGCTCAATCGATTCCAGTTTATTCATATAATCATCTCAAAAAAGAATTCAGTAAGTTTATAGTTGGCAAGGTCCCGTGCCCATGTCCCAAGCCGCGCAACGTTGGGAAGTTCCCTGGTACCATAAGTTATGGAGTTGAAAATTTAGAACCATTACATGTTTCACTAAGCCGTGGCCACTGAGCCGTGTTAGGAAATCTGTCTGTTTGTTGAGAACTGGAAATGAGGTCTAAGAGTCTGTTTGTTGCGATCAACTTTCACTCGGGTCAATGACTTTGGTTTGCTTATTACTAGGACGCAATCTCTCTGGTAAGTGGTAACAATAATTAGAGTAACTATGTGCCTGAATCTTGATGATTTCTTTGTTGTATTAAGTTTTACATTATAGCTAATATATGTACACCTTGGTGTCGTAAGGAACGTAATGTTTCGTGTTAACTAGGGTCAAAGAAGCTTATGACCCTCATAGATCTTGATGTCTATGTGAAGGGAATTTCTGGTTCCTCCATGCCCTCATGAACTTCTTTTGTCGGAAAAAGTGTCATTTCTTTTTGTTTTTTGTTTTCTTTTTTTTTTTTTGCCCCCTCAAGTTGCTATGTTCAAGTTAGCATAATTATTCCCCTTAGAGTCCGTCCATTTTACGATGAACAATAATTGTAGTTTATAAATAAGACCAATATGGATGAATACCCGGAATTTGATTACGAAACAGAGAATCTAGTAAGAAAATAACTTATAGTAGTAAATAAGACCAAGATGGATGAATACCCAACATTTGATTACGAAAAAGAGAATCTAATAAGAAAAAAACTTAAGAGGTTCTCCCAACCGACAACAAGCGCGGATTTGTCTCACTACTAAAAGCGCTGCTGGAAGTAGCAATCCAAGTTCTTTCCATAGCTCACTCCCAACATGTCGCAATACCTCTGGAAAAACCCGATCCGATCCGCCACTTCCTGATTTGCACCCCATCCACACTCAGATCCATCAATAATGTTGGTGATGACCCCATAACCTGGTACCCTTCCCGCTGCCCTGTCAGCTGCCGACGGTGTCCATCTTCCGGTCATCACATCGTGGCATGAGGGTTTGTTCCCCTGCGGGGTCATCCAGAACCAAATCGCTGTCTTGAATGATATCACGGCGTTTGTTTCCACCAAATCGGGATTATTAATAAGATCTTGTCCTATTGCTTTACCCGCTTGTCCATAGTTAAAGTTGCTGTTCGAAAGGAAAAAGAAAAAAAATTTGATGAAATTTTCGCAATCTCAAATGGTAAGGGTGGATTGCTATTACAACGAGGTCTTGAGTCGAAGAAGTTTAACTAGGTAAATGAATTTGAACTTACTAGGTGAGTCGCATAGGTCCTCTGCCGTAGTATTCTCTACCGGCGGGGCAAGGCCAATGGGGAGAATCACAGAAATTTCCACCAGATGTGTCATTTTTAGTAATTGTACAATATCCCCATGCGTATGGACCATCTGGTGCAGTTAGCCATCCACCTGCAACATAAAAAAAAAAAAAAAAATTCTGTAACAAAATAAGAGTTATGATTGATAAACCGTGATAGCTAAACTAAGCGAACTTAATTTGCTCATTTTGTGTTACTTCAATCTGGGAGGTAAAAAAAAAAAAAAAAAAGAAGAAGAAGCTAAAGTTATTGTGACGGAAATATTAAATTTGATAAGGGTCACCTGTAGTTTGTTGGGAAGTCTGGCCTAAAAATGCAGCAATTTCTCTCTTGCGAGTTTCGACACCACCGGTGGTACCAAAGGCGCGGAAAGATCGAGCAGCCATAATGAAGGCCTTGTAAGTGTAGAACCCCCTCTTTGGGCATTTGTGGGTGTTATGATACTTGAGCATTTGATTGAAAAGGTCTCGGCTAATAATGGATTCAATGCCGGTGCCGGCCTTGCATTGGCTTTGACCGAGAACAAAAGTTAACCAAAACAATATTACAAGAACCAATTTTCTCATCTTTCTTCTTCTTTTTTTTTTTTTCTTTTTTGTGTTTGTTTTTCAATGTGTCTGAAAAAAGTTTAGTTGATGAGAGAGCCCGTAGTGTAGTGTCGCATTATATAGGTGGTCCGTAGTGTAGTGTCGCATTATATAGGTGGTTTACACCTGCTTTCTCATCATATTTTATTATCATGTTATAGTCTCAATGTGGCAACTAAAATATTGGATAATGTACATGGATTAGTGCGAGACCATGTGGACAGTGGATTTGACACATGATGATACGTATCTCATGATTGTCAGGATCCGATTCCCCCATCTCTGGGGTTTTTTTTTTTATTAATCAATTATAGTTGCAGTAATCTAGATCGGCCTGATTCACGTTGATATCTGTCTTATGTACAGTAATAAGAAAAAAAGAGGTCTAAAGATTAGAGCGACGTTAATTATTCTTCAGAACTTGCTCTAAAAGTCTAAAGTGAATGTATCTCCAATCTCATGTAATATGCTAAATCCTAGTACACTGAAATAGAATTTGTTCATTGGTTGCGTATTCTGATAAAGTCCCTGTCCTTTACATTTCTGTGTGAGCATTATTTTTATATGAGAAAAATTAATGTGACTTTGTTTCATGCAAGAATATATATTTGACAAATAATACACTTACAATATTAATCTTCACTCAACTTAGATAGGTTGTCTTTGAGAGTAGAATCTCCATTTTATTCATGATCCACATCTTTTCTGATCTCCATACAAGTCTATATATATATAACCGATTTTGGAAGGTCCATTCACTTGTGTTGCTAGTTTTCACACCTATGAATGGTAATTATCGATATATATATATATATATATATATATATATCCAACTATATTAGAAACAAAAACCTCCCTTTCAAACATCTCATATGATTGCCACGTGGCATGTAGAAAATACTAAATTGCCCTTTTGTCTAACCATAACTAAATTACTAAATCTCCTTTTGCACTTTACGAAACAAAAACCTCCCTTTCAAACATCTCATATGATTGCCACGTGGCATGTAGAAAATACTAAATTGCCCTTTTGTCTAACCATAACTAAATTACTAAATCTCCTTTTGCACTTTACGTGACACTTTTTTTTTTTTTTTTCTTTATGTTTCATTCAACTAGAGTGGTTTTTTAAATTGAATTGATCAATTAGTTTTTTTGTTATAAAGTGTCAATTTTGTTTTAAGCGTATACCCTTCGGATGAAGCTTATTACAAAGCTATTAAAAATCTCCAAAACTAAGTATTGATTTGGCACGACCAATGGAGAACATCAATAAATCATCTTACTAATATTTAAATTTATTAGGATGCTTTTATATTTTATCTAACATTTACTTCAACACATATATTCGATTAAGCTATTTATATTTAATAAGTAACACTTATAAAACATTTCTAAAACATACATGGCGAAATACAATTTATTTTTTTTTTTTTGCAAAATACAAATATTTCTATGATCACACTTATAAAACATTTCTAAATCCTTCAAAAATTTCTAAAATATATCGCTCCAAATACAAAATTTTATTTTTTTCAAATATAAACATTTCTAAGATCTACAGATAGACTGGGCCAGGGTCGCGCATTGCACGACCAGACATCACTAGTATATATATATATATATATATATATATATATGGCTTCTAATTTTTTATTTGGCGTCCGCAGTCGATTTAATTCCAAAGCTTGAGAAATTCAGTCATTTAGCCTAATATCTATGGGGAGGGTTAAATGGCTAAAAAGAGGCTGGGGAAGAAAATAGATTAATGAACCTTTCTTTCTTTCTTTTTTTTTTTTGTCAAAAAAAATAGTTAGCGTCACTTTTGATTTTTGAAACAAAAGGGGAAAGCGAAGTATATTGAGTTTCAATAACTCTGTTTTTTTGGTGAAATGTATTAACCATTCAATGTTCCATTTAAATCAGTTTCTTTGAAATGCTACAAATTGAAACATATCAGTTTCTTTGTTAATTTTTAAGATTTTGGGAAAATTTGGTTAAAGGGTGGTAGAACATGTCAAATTAATAAAAGGGATATGACTTTAAAATATTCTCTATAAAAGGTGGTAATTTATTTGTTAAAAATTACAAAATCAATTTAATTTTATAATTACATAATTGCCATTAATTTTTTATTACCCTTTCAACAACTCATAAAATACACAAAAATCAATCTCCTAAAGATCCCTTAGAGCCGCAGAGGGAAGGGAAATAAAAGAAATCAATACAAAAAGGAATTCAGACAATGGAGGAACTCTCCTTACTGTTTCAATTAATAATCCTTTTATCCGTTGTTGCTTAATGCTTCGATCCAACAAATAATATTAAGATATAGTGCTAGCAATCTATTTTGCCGCAAAAAGTTTTCTTGATTCAAATGGTGAAATTGTGGTTTACAGCGCCACAGAGGTCCTATGTGGATGGTCCTCGATCAATGTTGAATACTTTGTTGATTAAGCAACCTCCATCAAAGCTTTCACAGAAAACTATATGCCTGGACATCTCTCTAATGACGCTATATCTTTCGTTTTTATTATACATGATTAGTGGAAATTAATTTATTTGATCAGAAACTGTGAGATTTGACCAAGATGGTGAGAGGAGAAGACGAAGGCGTAGAAAAAAGGTTTTTGCTCCATTGATTTGAAGAATTTTTTTTTTAAGGAGAATTGATTCTTGTTGAAGGTTTCTTGATGGCTTCGAGAGTAGCAGACATAGAGCTGATGGAGCAGTAGTTAAGCAGAAGAACATGGCTTTTGTTTATTATTATTATTTTTGTTTGCGTAAGAAATTACATACTTCATAAGGGTTGTATTGTCAATTCAAAGTATTTTTTGTTTTATGATTTTTGACAAATAAGTTTTTGTCCTTCATTCAAAATATTTTAAAATCACACCCCTTTTATTAATTTAACTTGTTTTACTGTCTTTTAGCTAAATTTTCTCAATTTTTAAATCATGGCTTATTTCTCTCAAAAAGGTTAGAGGTCACGAGGCAAAACTTGAAAAATGAAAATACTAAATACTTCTGCTCTGACTCTGTTTAATAATTATTGTCCAGTTTTAGATTTAATTTTCAGTACAATTTAAACTAAAAATAAAAATTCAAAATTGACTAATTTTGCAACAAATTACTTTGTTTCGTTGGCGGTACTGATAGAATATATAAATACGGAAACCCTAATTTAATTAGGGTTTCCGATAGTCACGGCTAGGGTTATTGTAATATTGTACTATATATATGATGTTGTACGCACGTAATAAGACACAAAAATTATTCTTTCATGGTATCAACCTCTGTTTTCTGGGCCATCACTTTTTATCTTTCTTTCTAGGGTTTCTTCCGCCGCCGTTCACTTTTTGCTTTGACGGCTTCCATTGTTTATTCTTCCGACCACCCTTGAATCTCCTCTCTCCCTCACCTGTTGTCCCGTTGCTTCCTCAAGTGTTTCATTGTTTTCTTGTTCCGCTGCTGCCCCTGTTCAATTCTACATAAAAAAATAAAAAAAAAATCCCCGGAAAGCTTTGCCTTCCTCTTTGTCGCTATTCAAAACCGTCTACCGCTACCTCCTTTCCTAGGGCCAGTTTTTTCTTAATTTTATTTTTTTCTTGTCTCCTATCGGCTGTGATTCTTGTCGGCGGGTGATCATCAACCTGCATCCATCAATTTCTTCTCTACTGTGTCAATCTATCACGTCCCTGATGCTGCTGCGTCTCTGCTTCTAATGCGTCCGAAAAAAAAAATTCTTTTCCTTCTTTGTTTGATCTTCTTTGTTTGCCTTTTACGTCCCTGCTGCCATGGCAAATTCGGCCAACTCCGGTGTCACAGAAACTCCATCTTCTGATCACCTTCAAACCACCCCCAACACTGAAACCCTGCCACCCTCTTCTTCTCCTCATCCGGCCATTGGCCTTTCCAATATTAAGAACTACATCACCCCTATTCTTGACTTCACCAACTACATGCTTTGGAAGGAATTCTTTTTTCCTGTTTTCCGTGGCCATATCGTCATGGGTCAAATTGACGGTTCAAATCCTTGTTCACCGGTGACTCTCGCTGCCTCCGATGGTTTTTCGTCTTCCACTCCCAATCCAGCTTTTCAATCTTGGACCCAAAATTGACTCTATTGTGCTCTCGTGGATTCAAGCTACTATTTCCACTGAGATCTTGCAGGCTATCGTTAAGCCAAATTCTACCCTCACAGCACGAGATGCCTGGCTTACGATCGAGAAACTGTTTCATGACCAACTTAGCTCTCGGCTTCTCCATCTGAAGCTTCAATTCCACAGCTTGAAGAAGGGTGATTCCACAATCAATGATTATGTCACTCAATTGAAGATGTTGGCTGACTCTCTGACCGCTGTCGGTTGTTCCATCTCCGACTCTGATTTGGTTCTACAAATTATCGCCGGTCTTCCTGCTGATTATCAATCCGTCTCCACCACCATCAGCCACAAAGTCCCTCTTCCTACCTTCATTGAGGCTCATTCGATGCTATTCTTGCATGAGGTGCAGCTTCAGAACGTGGCCCCTCCTTCTTCTCCCGCGGCAACCACGGCCTTGGTAGCGGTTGCTTCACCTGGTTCTTCTCAACATCCAACATCCGCTTCTCCTTCTCCTTTTTCATCCAGTCATGGCCGTGGAAGGGGTCGCGGCTTTCAGAATTCAAGAGGCCGAGGCCGCGGGCGTGGTCGCAATCAATATTTTGGTCACTCATCTTCTCCGTTTTATCACTCTTATTCTTCTTATCCGGCTCCTATGTTTACTCCCAAGCAGCGCGCTCCCTCTCTTCTTGGACCACCTCCTTCTTCCTCGTCCAATTCGGGTCCTGTTTGATGTCAATTGTGCCACCAGTTTAATCATTCTGCCTGGGATTGCTATCAATTCCAACAGCCCGCTTATTTTGTTGATCAACATAATCCGCTTTATGTCCCTCCGTCTGTTGATTCTTCTTAGTATATGGACACGGCTTGTGGTAATACTATGACTCCCAATCAAGGTACTCTTACTAATTCCAAACCCTATCTTGGTTCTACTCGAGTTATGATTGGTAATGGTTCAAATTTACCTAGTCAATCTGTAGGTACACTTCCTTGTTCTCAATTTCACTTTCCTAGGATTTATTATGTACCTTCACTTACCAAAAATCTTGTTTCTGTGCGTCAATTTGCAACTGAAAATCAATGTTCTATTGAGTTTGATCCCTTTGGTTTTTCCGTGAAAGATCTTTGGACGAGGAATCCTTGTCTACGTTGCAATAGTGCTGGTTCCCTTTACACTTTCCCATCCACCCTTTTGGATCAATCTCGCGCACCGTCTTCTTCGTCATGTCCGCCGTTCGCTGCTTCCGCCTCTTCTCATGTCTGGCATCAACACCTTGGTCACCGCAATTCTTCTGTTTTATCTAGATTAGTGTCACATCGTCGCCTTCCTGGTTCGGTGGTTTCCTCAAATAAATTTAGTCTTTGTCAGGCTTGTCAAATTGGGAAGCATCATAATCTCCCTTTTATGCCTTCTACTTCGGTTACTTTCAAAGCTTTTGATTTAATACATACCAATGTTTGGACTTCTTCCTGTCTTTCAAAGCTTTTGGTTTCAAGTATTTTGTACTTTTTCTTGGTGATTTTACTCATTATTTATGGGTGTATCCACTTAAAAATAAATCAGAGGTACCTCACAATTTATTAACTTCTACACTCTTGTCCAAACTCAATTCAATACTTCTATAAAAACTCTTCAATCTGACGGTGCTGCTGAATATGTTCACTCTCATTTTCTTCAATCTTTTCTCAAATCTAAGGGAATTGCCATGTGCATTTCTTGTCCATACACTCCTCAACAAAACGGTAAAGCTGAGCGCATGAATAAGACTGTCCTCAACATGGTCCGCACCCTCCTCAATCAAGCTCACTTGCCACCTAAATTCTGGGTAGTGGCCTTAAATACTAGTGTTTATCTGATAAACTATTTACCTACCATATCCAAGAACAATTCTATTCCTTTCTCCCTTCTTTTTGGTACTCTACCTAATTATAGTGTCTTGCGGGTCTTTGGATGTTCTTGCTTTCCTAATCTATCTCATTTAGCTTCTCATAAACTCCAATCTCGGTCCACTCCATGTATCTTCCTCGGTTATCCTGAGTCTTATAAAGGTTACCGTTGTTTTGATCCTGCTTCCAAAAAAATTTACACTTCCCATCATGTTGTTTTTGTTGAAACCTCTTTCCTGTTTCCTCAACTATCTTCGGTTCCACCACTCTCTACTCCCAACTCCCGTTTTAAACATCCTTCGTTTCTCATTCCACGGTCCATTCCCACTTCCGTGATACCTTCACCTTCTCAACAAAAAGTTTCAACTGTTCTTCGGTACATTCAGACCCTAAGCCTTCTACTTCCTTGTCAACTCATTCAGGTCCTCCTTCTTCAAACCCTCCCACTCATCGTATGGTCACCCGCACTCAGGATGGCACCTATAAACCTAAACAGATCCCCTCTCTTACTATTATTACAACCTCTTCACTTCCCCATGAACCAAAATCTTTCACTGAAGCCAATAAATACCCTGAATGGCGAGATGCTATGAGTGATGAATATAATGTTCTCTTCACTAACGATACATGGGATTTGGTCCCTCCTCCTATTTATGCTAACATTATTGGCTCAAAATAGATTTTTTGAGTTAAGCTCAAATCCGATTGTTCACTTGATCGATGTACAGCGCATTTGGTCACTCAAGGTTACAATCAAAATCCTGGTATTGATTATGATCAAATGTTTAGTCCGATGGTTAAACCAGTGACAATTCGGACTTTATTAGGCATTGCTGCTTCTCGCAAATGGCCCATCCATCAGTTGGATGTTAAAAATGCTTTTTTGCATGGTCATCTCAATGAAATTGTCTACATGAAACAACCTACTGGTTTTGTTCATCCAAATCATCCTCATTATGTCTGTCGATTGAACAAAGCTTTTTATGGCTTAAAGCAGGCTCCCCGAACTTGGTTTCACAGATTCACTGTTTTTCTATTTTTTCAGGGTTTTAAAGGCAGCCGCTCAGACTCTTCTATATTTGTGTATTCTGCTGGATCAAACATGGCAGTTTTGTTACTTTATGTTGATGACATTCTCTTGATGGCATCTAGTAATCGTCTGCTCAATACTATTATTCAGTCGCTGAAGGGTGCTTTTGCCATGACTGATCTTGGTCCAATCAGCTATTTTCTTGGTGTTTCTATTGCTCCTCACTCTGGTGGTTGGTTTTTACACCAACGTAAGTATGCTAAGGAATTGTTGGCTCGTAGTCATCTCACTGATGCCAAATCTGTTGCAACTCCCTTGCTCCCCCTTTTCAGTTTTCTGTTGACGAGTCTCCGCCTTTTCACAATCCAACTCTCTATCGGAGCTTAGTGGGTGCTTTACAGTATCTTACCTTCACCAGACCGGACATTCAGTATGCGGTCAACCTTGTCTGTCAGCATATGCATGATTCCCGGGAGCAATATTTTCAAGCTGTCAAGCGTATTCTACGATATATTAAAGGCATACTTCATTATGGCATTCATCTCCGCACTGGTCCTCTTGATCGCCTGGTTACTTATTCTGATGTTGATTGGGCCGGGTGTCCCACTACCCGCCGTTCTACCACTAGTTTTTGTGTCTTCTTAGGCTCCTCTCTTATTTCATGGTCCTCCAAGAAACAATCTACAGTTTCCAGATTTTCTACTGAGTCTGAATATCGCGCGGTTGCTTCTGCTTTGGCTGAAACGGTTTGGTTAGAGAATCTTCTATCAGAACTTCATATCAAGCTTCCTCAGCGCCCAATGATCTTGTGTGACAATGTCTCTGCTACATACCTAGCTGCCAATCCTGTTAATCATGCTCGAACCAAACATATTGGTCTAGACATTCATTTTGTTTGTGAACGTGTCGCTGCTGGTCTTCTTCAAGTTCTTCATATCTCCACACAGTCTCAACTAGCAGATGTATTCACCAAATCCTTGCCTAAGGATAAATTTTATTCGTTAGAACCAATCTGTGCATGATTTCCTCTCTTGCTCCGATTGCGGAGGGATGATAGAATATATAAATACACACGTAATAGTCACGGCTAGAGTTATTTTAATATTGTACTATGATGTTGTACACACGTAATAAGACCCAAAAAATATTCTTTCAGGTACAAGGCTTCCCGTATTTGCAATGGTTCAAGATATGATGTTATCGAATAATTTTTTTTTAATAAAAAAAAGAGTAAACTTCCACGTTAACTGCTCAATAAAAGCACTACGATTTAAACGCAAAGATTTGTACAATTTTTATATTAGAACCCCTAATGATCATACAAAGTCTAGAAATCCTTCTGGATGATTGACGAGGAGCCAACTTCAGAGGGGTTGATTGGCGGTGACGCAGGCATCGAACCATTCGGTGAAGATATCAATGGGCTCAGTCAATCTCCCGGCAAGCCCAACAGTGAATGGTCCCAATCCCAACGCCGGACTCAATCTTGCAGTCCACGGAGTCGGGGCAGCCGCAGAAGTGACAACGGAAAACCTTGGCAACCTTCTCTATCTTCTTCTTGGGCAGCAGTTTCTTTGCTCTCGACGAATTTCTCTTCCCCATATCTTCTTCTTTTTTATTTATTTATTTTTCTTTCTGGGAAATATATTGGCAACTTTCTTCAGCCTATGATTGTTGATACTGAGGAAGGAATTCGTATATTTATAGGGGGGAGAAGGAAATTTTGTGGCGGTGGTTTGTTTCCAAATTCTACCTATGTATGGATTACGATTCCAAATTGGGATTTGGATTTTGAAATCCCACTCTTCCCTAATTGTGTACGTATGTCGGCCCTGTTCAGAAGATAATTTGCTGCAAAGTGAGAGTTTGCAAAGTGAGAGTTGACCTTTCTTGCTTCAGCGTTGACCTTTGTTGTCCAGCATTTGTCTCTGTTGTAATTGCAGTTATATCATGTGGATTTATTTTTCTCCCCAAACTCTTCGACTCTAAGTCTTAGCAGAAGATATGGGAGAAGAGAGAGCGTAAAATTAATGGTCTTTGGCTAGCTCTGATGTTATTGGGTAACTTATGCCCATAATAGTTTTTAGACTTATGTCTTTTTTATTATTATTAGAAGAAAAGAAATATTTTTAATACAAATTTGAAATTTTTTATTCCCTCCGGTTCTTAATATAAGATATTTTGGTTCATCATATGTTTCACCTAGTACGCATTTTTAATTGTCGAAAAATCTTTAAAAATATATTTTCGCATTTGTTATATTTTCTTGATTGTTATTAAATGTTTTTAAGATTTTTTTGTCAATTAAAAATATATACTAGATTAAACATAGGATAAGTCAAAATGCCTTATATTAAGGACTAGAGGGAGTACAACAGAAATTCTTATTGTTTAGCACCATGGTTTTTTTTTTTTTTTTTGGTTTTTGAGTGGAAATGTATGCAGACGTGTCTTCTCTCTCCCAGTCTCTTTCTAATTTTTTTTAAAATATTTCTGTTGTTAAAATGCTAATGTATAAACTGTAGTCCTTTTGTGGACATCAAATCAAATCGAACTGAAATGATACCAAGAGAATATTAACATGGTCAACGCATTCAATTAACCACAAATTTGTATGTAAAAAACATGACAAAAATGTACCAAAATCTTCAACGTATTCAAGTTACCAATATCAAATGCCAAACTCCAAGATAATAAACCCCTCATATAATTTCTACACGATTGAACCCCGTCCACATATTCTTCATTAGTATGTAAAGATAAAAATAAATAAATCCTACAACTACTTTATAAGTTTGCGTAAAATCATCTTAGCTCCAAAGCGAGGTTGAATAGTGAACCTAGGAAAAGGTGCATGCTCATAAGATGGAGAGACCTCAAAAGAGAAATTCCGAAGGATCAAAACGAAGGCGATTTTCACTTCGTTCAACGCGAAATTCTGGCCGATGCAAATCCGCGGTCCCATACTAAACGGGAAATACGAGTTGGGTTTCTTCGTAGCGTTTCCAATTCCTTGAGAAAACCTCTCTGGATTGAATTCCTTCACATCGTCAACCCATAATTCTGGATGATGATGAACAAGTGGTAAATTAATCAAAACGCCCGCCCCAGAAGGCACAATTATGTCACCTATTTTCGTCGTTTCTTGAGTTGACCGCCGAATGTTTATGGCTGGTGGGAAAATTCTCAACACTTCATTCAAAATCATAGTCAACTGCGATACAACCAACAAAAAATGTAGAGATATAGTCAATAAAATATTTTCCACAACGATAACATAAAAGATTAATTTATTATTCTCTTTCTGTCTCAAAAAAATAATCATAGATCTCAAAAAGTTAATATATATTATTTTTTTGAGACAGAAAGATGAATATAATGTTGACTTAACGTTTACTTACAATTTTGAGGCGATTCAATCCTTCGGCTTCGAGTTCATGGAGTTCATTGTTGCTACCAAATACTTGGAAAACCTCTTCTCGAGCTTTTTCTTGCCAGTCTCGATGAATTCCCAGCATTACCATTGTCCAAACAAGCAAATTGGAGGTTGTTTCTTGTCCAGCAAGGTAGAGCAATTTGAATTCTTCGATCACATCATCAGTGGTAAGTCCAAAACTTTTATTATTACCATTTTTCTTCATCTCATTTTGATTGGATTCCAAAAGTAAACCTAATAAGTCTTCGCTGTTTACCTCGTCTTTCAGCATTCTTTCCTCTCTTTTTTTGATGAGATCCCTCATGATTGCGTCTGCCTCACAAAATACTTGTTTCAATCTTCTGTTCCTTTTAGTTGGAAAAAACCTACAATTTCATCCATGTAATCCAAATTTAATCAAACAACATATGTAAATCATATTCTCTTCTGTCACATAAAAATAATCCACATTGTAAATTGTAGTATTAAAAATCGTATAATAATATAACGTAGAAGTCATAATGCAGGCTATTTTTATCAGACGAACAGAAGAGTATAATTTATTTACTTCCGTAATAAAATAATGTACCTGGTTGAACACCAAAAAAAAAAAAAAAAAAATCTACCTTGATCCGTTGATGTAGATAGTTTGCTTGGACTGGTATATTAAAGAGAATAGCTCTTTTTGGAGTTCGAAAATTTGCCTGCCTTCTTCAAAGCTACTTCCAAATGCCGTTCTGGAAATTACGTCGGCCGTCAAGTTTGCAAAATCAGGCCAAACATCTATTTCGATAGATTTTTTTCCTTGGATCAACTTATCCCATTTCTTTACCAATTCCCGGCAGCTAATAAACATGGAGGGTACCATGTTCTGTTTAATAAATACGAAGATCATTAATGAGCTTGAGAAATCGAAAGGGACTAAGGTATACATTTACATACCAACAAGTTGTTTTATTGAAAGCTCTAAATATATATAGCTAGCTAAAGAAATCTTTTTCTTGTAAGGGATTAAAAGTGTAAAAATTATTATGAAGAATTGATTATTGTACATTACAAACGTCACACTAACCTTTAGTTTCTCGTGGTTAAAAGTTGGGTTGATTATCTTTCTACGTTTAGCCCATTCATCACCATCTTTAGAGAATAGCCCAACTATAAGAAATCTATCCAATGGACTCAACGGTGGCCTTCGGAAAATAGTATGCTTGAATGTGATACCTTTGATCATTTTTGGATCTGTTATGATCAACGTTGGATGCGGTCCATACCAAATGAAACATTTTTCTCCTGACAAATGGAATCCAATTTCACTTACCATCAATTCCAAAATCATTGTCACTAGAAATGAAAATTCACACTGGACAATAATTTTAGAATAGAAAGTATAATTAAGAAGATAAAAATCTGCAACATGTAAAACCAACTAAAGAAGGAGATTATGTAAAAGATGTTATAACTTGTATCATTCAGGGATGGCTAATTTCCAGCAAGTTTAATATAAATCTTTTTTCAAAAAAAAAAAAAAAACTAAAGATGGAGATTATATTGTTATGTACTCACCGTACTTTTGTATCATGTGATGATGATATGGAATGATATAAGGAAGGACATATTCATCGTGATTGATAGGTTTGGAATGTGCTTGTTGAACTATGGCTGCCATGTCTTTCATATCTCCATAAAACAGACGGTAAGAATTTCTCGAGCTTCTTTGGTCTGAACCAGAAATCATTCAACATCTTCCATCCCAATGAGAAAACTAAAACCAGAAGGAGAGTTGCTAACACAGCCATGGTGTTCACTTCATCCAATGTCATCTTCTTCTTTTTTTTATTTTCTTTGTGGGTTTTTGTTTGAAAATTTAGAGCAAGCAATTTGAGGATTTGAGAGTTTTGAGAATTTTGATTATATTTCTTTTTTGTTTTTTAAACGGAGACTTAGTAGGTATTAATTGATTTTCCATTTAATACCAGAAGATATTTTTTTGCATCATTTTTTTGTGTAATATTATTTCTTCATCAATTCAGGTATTGTTATATGTATTTAGACACAATAACAATACTACCAATTGAAACAATGTATTTTTTTTCATTCCAAAATTAACTACAATTAAATAACCTTTTATCCCCGAAAGCAATATATACCATTCTACTTATTCATCACTCTGAGCCATTTTTGAATCCTTTCAGTAATTGACATTTTGAGCTTGAGCCCTAAGCTAAGGTTATAGCCAAAAATCAAGGCTGCATTCAAGGATCCACTTACGTAGACAGACGGCTAGTTTGCATGAATTGAGTCCCAGCTTAATGTAAAACTCAACTATCTGTTCATTACTCGGAATTGGTGAAAATCAGTACTAGTATCATATATTCCATTATTCCATTAATAAGGGCTACCAATTATGATTAATTTTTTTTTTTTAAAAAAAAAGAAGATAATAATGGTGTCAAAAAACTATCCAAATTCGTTTTTATAGTTTTCTTTTTGTCTTTGAAAAATACGTGCTTCACTAGGAGGTATTTAAGACTTGATCAACGCAATAATTTTTAGTTTTAACTTTTTAAAAATAAAAAAATGTTATATAATGCGGATATTTTCATAATCTTCAGAATTACTTAATCAATATTTTCTCATTATTCATTCTAGTCATATCCTTTCCTCGTGAATGCTTAAACCATATCCTAATCCTCTCATCTCAAAAATACATTTTCGGTCCCCAACTTTTTTTTTCACGAATTATATCTTCTCTATCTTATCTGGATTTATATTTTTTGTTTTATCTTTCTCGGTGAAGAAACCGTATACACAGGCCAGAAGACAGAAGTTCAGGTCTAGGATTGAAACATATAAAATCAACTAAAAGAATACTTTCCACTTTCCAGTTCATAATTTGAAGGCAGTAAAACATCTTAAACTATTGCCAAAAATTAAACTACTCCCTCCGTTCCACAAAAATAGTCCACATTAAATTTTGAGTTTTGTATTGTTTTTAGTACAAATTTAAAAACTCAATGCGAACTATTTTTGTGGGAAGGAAATAGTACTTATTATCATCATTCAATTAGGGAGGAACATAAACGTCGACCCTTTGTTGTAGAGGGACCGTCCCGGTGGGGAGAATTGGAAACGATTAGTGCCAAATTTCTCCTTTGTTGATTTAAGTCTAGCTAGTTCGGCCTCAAATTAATTGAACAATGAATAAGGGAAAATATAATTAATAGTATACTGTAGTAAAATAAAAAATGTTTTACCATGTGCACAGATTTAACGTTTTCATGCTTTCTTTTTTATCTTCTTAATATATCGGACAAATAAACCACGTGTAGTAACTTATTTCAGTGAGCAATGTTCGTACGTACCATTTATTTACCAAAACAATTGTTCAATTTGGATATTTTTTAAAAATAAATATTAGTAAAATCAAACTACAAATATTTTCAAATCAGTCGCCTAAACTATTTAAGAATTTTAAGTTTTACAAGTGAACCATATATTTTTTGTTTCTCCAAAGTAATTACTTTTAAAGTTGTAAATGGGCTGAATTGCATAAAACAATTCCTACCTTTTTTTTATTTTTTTTTATCTTTGGATACTTCTTGCTTATCTATTTTACAATGATTCAGTTTAGTAAGATAGACTAATCACTACCGGTTAAATTCAAAAAAAAAAATAAATTACTTTTTCAAAACAGGTGGAGTATAATTTTATTGCTAGATAACCAATTAGAGCGAGCTTAGTTGATTGTAATTTCGGCTTATGAAGTGGAGAAGGATATATATTGATGGATGCTCATCAGCCGATAAAAACTTTAGGCAGAACCATTGGATTGGTAATGAACGTGGCACGACCATGCACAAATTAAATGAAAATGAAAAAGAAGAACACAAAGCAGTTCTCGATTCCATTACATAAAAAATTTAATCGGGGGAAAAAAAAAACAGAGCGATAATTATTAGTCTCCAAGTCTTATAATATCGTATTTTGTTCAATGATTTATGCTCTGCATTATTTTATTTTATTTTACTTTTTTTGGTTTACTTGAATAATGGTATGTAATTAACACTATCTGGAAATTAAATCACACTAGAAATAAAGAAAATGCCCGATATTGGTCTCTCATATCTTGACAAGTTCATGTGACCATTGCTAAAAATGATTTCGATTGGAATTTATTAAAATCTAAATTTTACAGACCTAATTGTCAATGTTTTGGAAGATAAGAGAACAAAAAGTTGTAAATTAATTAATTAAGTGAAATAATTTTAGGAGAATATGCATAAATTTTTCTTCTTTCATTAGAAATTGGATTATGTGCTTTTCATTCGAAATGACTAATAAATTCATAGGGCAGAAACGTACGCTGAATACTACAAGGTAAAAAATAAATAAATAAAAAATAATTATTAATAAGAACTAAGAAGAAGTAGAATAGTGAGAAGTGTTACAACTTTCTGAAATGTGTGGGAGATAATAAAAATAGCTGAATTTGGTCTCTGGTATTGACAGGGGAAAAACGATAATATGGTGCGTTTGCCGGGAGTCGAACCCGGGTCTATTGCTTGGAAGGCAATTATCCTAACCGTTGGACTACAAACGCCTGCTTGTTGTAGGTCTACAATATTTGTTACAAAAACAATAAGTACTAATAACTGAAAAATCCATTAAAGATCCAATTTTTGCGAAAACACCCACAATTGAATTTCCTATCATTTCCAATAATAGGCAGTTTCATTCTTCCATACAGCACAAATGACCCGAGTACTTTCTTTTTTCGTTTAGAAAAATAATACACATTTCGACAATAAAAAATTCATTTGGACAATTATTATTATTTATTATTTCCTTTTTTTGATTTTTTCAAATATGTTTTTCAAATCATTGTGTGAAAAACAATTCCAACTCTCGCATAAAACTAGTGAAGCTAGGGCTTTGAGGCCTCCAATTTTGAAAGACCCCCAATTTTGGTGGGCCTTTACTATTTCTTAAGTATTTAAAATAACAGATTAAATTAATTGAAAAGATAGAATAATAAAAATACTTTCATTTTTTTAATTTAGGCCCCAATTTTCATATATTTTTCTTCTTTCTTTCTTTGTTTTTTCTTTTAAATAAAGCTTTGTTTCGATATAACATTAAATGATAACAAATCCTAAAATTCTTGTTCAAAAAAATTATCTCGCTTAATTAATTAACTTTTATACTCGATCTTCTTAACCACTAATTTCATCATCATCTCACTACACCAGTCATTTAAATGATTTCTCTCTTGTGATTAATTCTTTTCTTATACTTTCCCCCAATAATGTATACATATTACATATCTTTTTAAACTATTGTGTGAAATAACAATTATGTGAGTTTTTTTTTTTCAATTTCATCTTTTTTTTTTTAAAGTTTCATTGTACATATGATGAGTATCTTTTATTGTTTAATTAGTTTATCTTTCAATTATTACTGTCTATCTCAATAAATAGTCATGCAAATATCAAAATTCAATGTTGATTATTTTTTCTGGAGAGAAGGGAGTATAAAAGTTTGTTACAAAGTGAAAATTTTAATTTGCTACATGATGAAATAGGACAAGAAATAATTAAAAGTCAGTATTATGATTATGTGCTTGTATTGTTCTTTTTCTACTAACATTCATATATAAACTAAGGTCCATACCTATCGGTTTTAATACTAAAAAAGGTGATTGTTTTAGCAACATACAATAAATAAATAAATAAATATAAGAAAATAAATAATTCAAACTAATTTCCGAAAAGCCTCATTTCAAATACTTGCTTTAGGCCCCTTATTGGTTTGAGCCGGCTCCGGTGGAAAACACACTATAATAGAACACAAATTTTAATAATGTTACTAATTACTCTGTGAGTTAAAAAAAAGGACTAAAAAAGTTTGAAATCCATCAAACCATAAAAGAATGGCTTATGTGAATGAGGAAACTACAAAAGAATCTTTAAAATAACTTTAGTCATGGAAAATAGGAAAACTAAAAATGGAGAGATCTCCTCTTTTTTTTGTTTTGTTTGTTTATATGAATACTTCTTTAACAGGGGTGAAAACAAGGTGATCAAGTAGTAGAGTGGTGGAATGAAGATAAGACAAGCAAATTGACAAAGACAAAAAACTGTTAATCAAAACAAAAACCAAGGCGCCACAAGTATTTGGCCTTTCCAGCATTTGTTTAAGCCAGTAAAGTAAAAGGTGATCAAACTTTTCTTTGGGATTTTGTGAACCGATTGATAGTCGGGTTCGGTCATTTCGGTGGCTGCCTCTTGGCTCTTCTTTGCGGTCATCATCGTGATGAGCCACATATATAGTTGTTCA